ATCAGATTTGCCAGAAAATCGGGAGGCCTGGTACAGCTGCACGGCTTAACGGCTGGCCAGGACACAATCTCCCTCCCTCTTCCCTCCCCTTTCCTCTTTGGGTCTCCTCCGTGCTGTAACCTGATCCTCCTGCCTTTCTCCTCCCCTTTCCCCTTCACTGAAACAAAATGCTCTTCTCCACACTGTAACACAATCTCACTCCTCCCCACCACCAACCTTATGCTCCATCTGGTTACAGCCAGCACCTGTGCTGAGCGGCAGGCTTTTTAATCAGCTGGTCAGGAGCGCTTGGCATTTTGATGCCGGAGTACCAGGAGTGCCAAACAGTTGGATGCCGGAATATTGGAGTTTTACTGTACTTCACTTTTTGTTTGTGCTGATGAAAATTTAGGTTCAAACAACGTAGAAATTAGCTTAGAGGAGCAATCTAAAGAGCTGAAACTGTGATTGTGTTTTATAGTATGATATGCAATTACTGCTTCCTTTGCCACAAGTTCCATTTTAACGGTGTCATCTTTTATAATACATTTCTTTATTGAAGCACTGGAAGCTACAGAGCAGACAGCTCACTGATGTTTCTTTGATTGAATATGTGCAGTGATGTCAAATTTCCCACCAAGAGCAAGGTTTATCTCACTACTACATTGGGTGCAAAAAGGTTATGTGTGGATTGTCACGTTGCTTTAAAAAAAGGATATTCCTTTTGCAAAGCCTCGGTAAAAGTATACATTCTGTTCCTGCTTTTTGCATTCATTTTCACACTAAAATAAAATCTTACAATTACATTAATAGGCTGTGCCCCCTGCTCGCTAAGCTCGCTAGCCCCCCATCTTCCCTGCCACTATGCTTCCCAATTCCCCCCTCCAACCCTCCCCAAAACCCCAATCTCCTCGTATATGATCCCCAACTGAAACACCTCACTTCCCTGGTGCTCCAGCCCCACGGTGGAAGGAGGGGCAGGGAGGACTGAGGTTCAAGGCCTCAGACCAGGTTAACTTTTCTGGGGCTTCAGAGTTAGTGGATTTTGTGGGGGCCCCTAGTCTCTGGGGTTGGTTCAAAAATGAGGGGTCCAGTGTGTGGGACAGGGCTGCCAGTGAGTGGGATAGGGATGGGGGTGCAGAATCTGAGTAGGAGGGGTGAGGGTGCACAGTCTTGCTAGGAAGGAGGTGCAAGAACAGGGGAGGGTGCAGGAGTTAGCTGGGAGTGTGGGGTCTCAGTGGAAGGTGTATGTGGGGGGAGTGGAGGTACAGGGTCTCAGCAGGGTGGTGAGTGAGTAGGCGGGGGGTGTAGGCAAGGAACTATCTAGAGCAGTGGTCTCCAACCTTTTTAAAGGTCAGGGCAAGCCAAGATCTACCCCATCCTTTCCCCAAGACCTCACACCTTACATGAGGCCCTGCCCTCCCCATTCCTCACCTCTCCATCATTTGCTGTCCCAGGCCCTTACACACTCTCACTGGGTTGAGACAGGAGGGGCAGGCTCTGGGATAAGAATGAGGGATTTGGGTGTGGGAAGCAATGAGAGGTGCAAGCTCTGGGAGGGAATTTGGGTTAGAGTTAGGGTTGGAGAAGGAGGTGCTGGCTCAGGGAGGGGGCTCCAGGCTTGAGCATGTTGGGATCAGGGGGAGGAGTGGGATGCTGAGCAAGCCACAGGCTTGTGGAGGTGGGGGTGCAGGAGTTTGGATTGAGGTGTATTAGGGGTTCAGGGCAGAGGAGTGGGAGTATGATGGGCTCAAGGCACAGGTTTGCCGTGTGGGGATGGTGCAGGAGTGTGGGGATATGAAGGGCTCAGGGCAGGGGATTCAGGTATATGATACAGGGTTGGGTCCTTTGGGAAGGGCAGGAGTGTTATGATGCTGCGGGGAACCTGTTTTGGATCAGGGGCCACTGACCCACAGAAAAATCAGTCAGGGATCACACAAGCGAGATGCAAAAAAACAACCCCTCCGAAACCCCCGAGCTTCAATGATGTGGCACTGAGACACCTCACTCCCCTGGAACTCCAGCACGATGGTGAGGGAGGGTAGGTAGGACCGAGGTCCAAGGCCTCAGGTCAGATTATTTCTTCTGGGTTCCGAGGTTAGTGGATTTTGTGGGCCCCTCTACACTCTGAGGTAGGGCCAAAAATGCGGGATCCAGTGTGCGGGACAGAGCTGCCAGTGAGTGGGATAGGGATGGGGTGCAGAATCTGGGTAGAAAGTAGGGTGCAGGAGCAAGCTGGAGGTAGGTGTCTGGCCGAGGGGCAGTGGCAGGGTCCTGGTGGGAGTCTGGCTAGGAGGCAGGGGTAGGATGCTGGTGGGGATCTGGCCAGGGAGCAACAGCAAGGTCCTGCTGGGTGTCTAGCCTGGGGCTAGGGTGCTGGATGATGTCTGGCCAGGGAACAGAGTACTGGATAGAGGTCTGGCCAAGAGGTGGGGGCAGGGTGCTGGTGGGGGTCTGGTCTTGGGCCAGGGGGCAGGGTGTTGGTAGAAGGTCTGGCCAGGGGAGAGGGAGCAGGAGCAGCATGCTGGTAGGAATCTGTCCAGTGGAGAGGGGGCAGAAGTATCTCGGCCAGCTCTGCCTTTTAAATCTAAGACAACCCTTATGGCTCTTGCTAAGTTTAAAATGCAGAGCGGCAGCACAGCAGGAAATGGAGCTGGGAATCAGCTGATTCCCAGTCCGACTGCTGCTCTGCCCTTTAAACTTAGTAAGAGCCACGTGGGTCGTCTTAGATTTAAAAGGCAGAGCCACGTGGGAGGGTGCCAGCTGAGCTGGGAATCAGCTGATCCCAGTTTGTGCACAGTGTGGGTTCTGTCTTAAGTCTAAGAAGCCACGTGGCTCTTACTCAATTTTAAAAGGCAGAGCCAGCACTCTGCACAAACTGGGATCAGCTCAGCTGGTGCCCTCCCACGCATCTCTGCCTTTAAAGCTAAGATGATCCAGGTGTTCCCCCGCAAAAGGGAGCAGGAGGGGAAAGAGAAAGAGCAGCTTGCAGCCACTTCTAGCTGCACTGCTATTTCCGGGACATTTTCAATGTTTTACAGGGCACTGGGACAGAAGACTGAAATTCGGGACTGTCCCGGATTTTCTGGGTTGTATGGTTAGCATACCTATAGATTAAGCTGGGGAGGGAAGTGAGTCAGAAGGCTGACTGCCTCCAGGCATAGGCTATAAGACTAGTTCAACCTGTTTCTCCCCATTCTTTCAATGATAGAGTTAAAGAAAGGCTCCATAAGGAGTCTCTTTTGTATGTAAATTCACTCCAGCGGATGCTGGAATCTTGGGCTGATTTGTGCTTTGGGTTAAGAGCTGAAATCACAAAGATCTGAGCTCACTAGGTCTGGCCCAGGGCCAAATCCACCGCAAGCCAGCGGAAGATGTGATGAGCACCCAGCAGGCTGGTGACGGAGAGGCAGGAGGAGCAGCCAGCAGAGCAGCAGCGGCGGGGGGGGACCAATGGAGAAGTGTGAGGAGAAGCCAGCAAAGAGGCGGCAATTGGGGGATTGAATGGCCAGCAGAGCTGCCCCGGAAAGCAGCAACCAGGTGAATGATGTGTGACCAGCAAAGTGGGTGAGATGGCTCCTACCTCCCCCTCCCAGATCACCTCTGAACTCTGGTCTGCCCTGACCAAGGGCAGTAACTGTGAGTGGGGTGCAGAGACGGGTTGGGCATATGAAGGCATATGAAGGGAACATTTACATTACTGGACTTGAAAGCCTGAGAGGAAAAGGACATTGCCCAACCTACCTGAGCTAGGACATTTATTGTGGTTTTGGTTACGAACTTTGTTTTTGGTGTGTCCCAAATTAATGCCACGTTACTTCCCTCCCTATTTATTAAAAGTTTCTTTTCCACACTCAGATTCTGTGCTTGCAAGTTGGGGAAGCATTGCCTCCCAGAGGCACCCAGGGGCGTGTGTGAATTTCCCAGGTTACTGAGTGGGGGCTCAAGCCAGTTCTGCATTGGATGGATGGATGAAGAACCCCTAGATATTGAACCTGACCCTGGTTGCTGCTGGTGCCATCTGGCAGAAGGGTTACATGACAATAATATTTTAAGGAAAGCTTTTGCACTTTTCTGTTTTCAAACTCTGTGCTCTGAAAGGGAGGTATGCTGGTAGTGAGAGACAATCATTTCTTCCTATGCAGGTGCAACATTTTAAAGATTAAAGATGTAACAAACTGTCAACTTTCCTGTCATCTGAGAAATAAATGCTTAGCCCAATTCCTGAATCAAATGTCCTTTTCACCACACCAGCTAAAAAAAAAAAGTGTTATGTACTGAAAATGTCTTAATTATACAGGCTGTCATGCTATTTGCTTGGCTGCCCACACAAACAAGTACAAGTAAAAAAGAGACTCCTTGGTGTCTAGATGAAATTATGCACTTTTAACCCTTGCTATTTTTGTAGACTGTGTCAATAGGAAAGAGGGATTAATTTTTTGGTTTAAAAAAAACTGCATAACCTAGAGACACTGAGACCTGTGAGAAAGGGAACATAATGTCTGTTCTACAGCCTTAGCTAAGAAGAAGTTGGCTTTAGCTCCTAAAATAGCAGTTCAGTCCCTCCTGCTGATGACCTGGTTCCATCAGCTTTATAACTGTATATTTAAAACATGAATTCATGTTATTGAACTTTGTTTATTTTAAAACGTGTTTATTTGATACACATTTTGGCTTATGGTTAACACACTAGGACAGGGCTACTCAACTTTGGAAGCCTCGGGGGCCACAGTGATACTCACAGCACATGCTGAGGGCTGCAACTTAAGTGTGGTTGCATATACATGCTAATATATATGCAAAGAGTTTTTCACACCGACAGGTATGGATACAAAGATTAAAGCAAGACTACAGGCCCCGTTTAAGTCAGTTCTGCTGATATTAATAAAATGCAATATTTGCCCAATTTCCACCCATATGACAGCACTTTTAATGAGCAATGACAATCCAGGAATTTAACCACTAAAATGCATATCAACAGAAGACCATTATATTGACTACTTTTTTGTTTTGACTCTCACCTGCAGGCCGCCTGTTGAGCCCCACGTTAATGTGTTCATCTTCCCTGGGAGGTAGAGAAATACTATGAACTCTGTTTTAAAGACAGCCTCACTTACCTAAGCGACTTGCCCCCAGCAGGATTCAGGGTTGGGAGGGGCTAGGATGTGCTACTCTGCCAACTCCCCCTCCCCCACTGAGTTACCAAAATTACAGGTCACTCACTGTAGATAGCACAGGGGTCCAAAATATGACTATGCAGCTCTCTCAGCTCAGGTCCTCCCCAATGTCACTTCAATGTTATGGAGCATCCTGGGCTCCTTAGAGCTGGCTTCTTGAGTAGGGGAGGAAGGCGAGACGAGACCAATGGTATCGCCCAACATCCTTTTCTGTTATCAAGAGTTGTTACTCTCAGTAAATTGTGCAGATCTATGATTCTCCTTCTATCTTAAAATGGATAATGACAGAGTTAACACCAACATTTAAACAATAATGACAGACTGACATAGCACATCCAGGAGGATGAGTTTACCATTATGCAGCTAGCTAACGGTAGGAAAAGACCAAAGCATGCCCTGCACTTACCACATGTCCAGGTGCTGGTAGAATTATCACCGTCATCTAGCCAGTGGAAACAGTTGTGAAAGGATCCCCATGCAACTAGGTTTAATGCACATTTTATTTTTTCTTATGTCTTCCTAAACAAAATGTGAACGTACCAATTATAGCAGCAACGTGCGTGAACAGATGTCTAACTTTGCATGGTTTTATAATAAATAAGAAAAAGAGAGTTGCAGTGTGCTCTTAGCAGAGAGATTCAGGGTTAAACAAATCAGGGCTCAGTCTTGCAAGCTACTCCAGAGTCATAGCTTAAATATTGGTTTGTCCATGGTCATTGAGGTAGACGATCTGAGACTAGAACCCAGATGTCACACCACCTAGTCTTGTGCTTATAAGCAACAGACAATCCTTCCTCTTACAACAGTTCACACCTCCCTCAGAGGAATGGGGTAGTCACATCTCTCAGACTTATTGCTCCAGGGCCTCTGCAGACGCTCAAACATCTCTGCAATCAATAAACATACGCGCCATCTTTTTTTTAGATTTTCCTCACAACCAGGATATATGCTATGTCCGCACTACAGAGTGCATGGCACTACTGTGTACTGTCGGTGTACTGTAAATGCAGCATACACCGGCAGAAGGCACACCTTTATGTAGGTATAGCTGCATTTGCACAGGAGGTTCTGGCCAAGTAACTATGTTGGTTAGGAGTGTGCTTTTTCACACTTCTGATCAACATAAATATACGCATTTAAGATTTTAATATAGACAAGGGCACTCTCTCGCTCTCTTTTTTTTTTTTTTTTTTTTAAATTAATGAAAGCTGAGAATCTTGAGAACAAAATAGCACCTGGAGAGAAGTGTTATTATGCCAGACTGCAAGGGTCAATCCAATCCAAGCCCTGGCCAAAGACACTGCCCAAAGCCTGTGTTGGCATAGGGGGAAAGGGTCATGAAGGGCAGCATGCTGCACCATAAAACATTACTCCTTTTTCAAACTGAAGTGCCCCTATTGAGACCTACGATTAAGTGATCAACTGTGGCAAAATGGAAGTTATCTGACATGCAATCTGTTTCCTCACACTTGAAAAACAAGTCATTTGGTTATGAATTGGGAAGTAAGCCAAGGTATGTAACCTGTCATAATTATTTAACCTGTGTATATTTCATGACTTTGCTTAGTATTTGCATTAGGTACAGAGTGCTACATCATCCCAGATCCTTTAATACTATTGATTTGATTGTTATTTTTTACACTGGTTTGTGCTACTGCATAACTGTTTCAATCTCATTTTAACTCTGTCCATGAGAGTAAGTAAATGCCATTTTTCAACAGGAAAATGTTCTGGCTGCAGCAAATATTAATGTTCCTACTTACAATTCAATGGAGTAAACATATTTTTGGTAAGTGCAGTGATTTGTGCATATTCATTTTGTGGGTTTACGTATAAACTGAATATTAGAAACTGTCATTTTTAGACATCTAGGTTGTAGTATTTTAATGTTTGTGTTCATTTATTATACTACTCTTCTTAGAATTGTATATTATGGGCTCACCTAAAGGCCCAGATTCAGAAGCTGTAAGCAGATGAGTAGTCCCACTGAAATCAACAGAACTACTTACAAGCCTTCATGTAACTTTAAGACTAAAGTTCATAGTTGAATTGGGGCCCAAAGGTACAACAGCTATACTGCAAAAACAAAAATTGCACAAAGGGCAGAGTATCAAAGCCTGAGTCAACTGACCCCAACTCACACGAAAGGGCTATAAACAGGAGGTCAGCTGATTCCACTTGGGCTCTGAGACCACCCTCTACCGCCTGCTGGGTTTCAGAGTTCATGGGGGACTGTTGACACTATTTTTAGCCTTATAGATCCAGTCTGCTGACCTGGACTTTGGATCTTTACTACTGTACCTTTTTTCCTGTTGCAGAAGTAGCACCCCACGTGACCTAGCAACACACACTAAATACACACGAAGGCCTTGATCCTGCAAACAGACATGCACTTAATTATATGTATTACAAGGACTGGGACCTGAGAAGAAAGTGTCTATCTGAATATGATTTCTTCCTGTATTCTAAATGTTTATCTCTACCATGACCTATTCATTTTATTGAACCATATAAAAAATCATGCTTCAGAACCCAATTGCAACCATATCAGGCACTTAAATGGCCATGGGAACCAATCCGCAAGGCAAATAAACTGAGGCTAGCTTTTATGAGGTTTTCCATGTTTATATGGTAAGGACTGAAATTTTACAAACGTTTGGTGGGAGAGGCAGGGGAACGGTCATGTCTATATCAGTAAAGAGAAGAAACATTTCTCTCTGTACTTCTAACAAATGATTCATGGAAGAGGCTTCCTGAACTGTGAATAATCCACCATGAACAGTTCTACCAAAACTGTAAAATATCACTTGTCTTTTAACTTTCATTTCCAAATTGCATTTTGAACACAATGTATCTCAGCTTCGGAGCCTGGATCTTCCCCAGGATACCCGCACATAACTCCTACTGGAGTCAATGAGAGCTGCAAACATGCATCTTCAAAGGTGTATTCTGACCCTATAGCTTTAATTTACTCACAGAATATGGCTCTGTGATCCATTAAAAAAAATATAGCTAGTAACCATCTGCCTTTCTCCATCAGGCTAAAAGCAGTTAATCAAACAGACGTTTTACTTTCTTCTTTCTCTCAATTGCTTTGAACACAGATGCAGCCTTTCCATAATTAAACTCAGCACTGCAGCACCCAGACAGATTAATTCTGGAGAGCTTGTCAGGCATGTCAGCTGATATACAAGCTGTGTGTCTTGTCTTCAGGCTTCTCTCTTCTTCTTTTTTTTTTTAATATAGAGACACTCTCTTAGAAGTGACTGAATTAACCCATGAAAGTGATGCCAGAGGAAAGCTCTGTTCTGCAGTGCTTTGCAGGCTCTCATGGGGTGACATGTTCTAGGAAGTCCTCCATGCTCAAAGCAGAAAAAATAGGAAATTTTCATTCTCCAGAAATTATTTGTTGTGAGCAAAGTAACCCTAACCCTAACCCTGTCCCCACTCAACATGTACTCTGCAGCCTCCTGCAGGAACATCAATAGATTCTTCTTTTCTTGACAATTTTAGCTAATTGTACTTATTGCTAGTGAAAACTCTCCCCCGAACGCTGACATACAGGGAGTATCTTTAAGGTAGCTCATCCTCTGTGACACTACGGGAGAAAGTCAATCTAAGATACGCAACTTCAGTTACGTGAATAGCACAGCTGGAATTGACGTACCTTAAGTTGAATGTTTGCAGCATCCCTACAGCAGGAAATCGATGGAAGAAACTCTCCCATTGACTTCCCTTTCTACTTGCTCTTGGTTGAGTACCAGAGTCAATGGAGGTGTCATCGGCAGTTGATTTAGCAGGTCCTTATTAGATTTGCTACATTGGACCCTGGGGAATTAATCTCCAGGTAAGTGGAGATAAGCCCTAAGTAAATCCTTTAGCTCCTCTGAGGCTGCAAACGAGGGCATCAACCATACTGATAAACATCCCTGTGGAACAAGACTGAGACACCATCAGATGCATTTCACACTTTTGCTCATTACTGAACTGGATTTGTACTAGTTACCATCTCCCCGAATCTTAGAAGTTGCATGCCAAACAATAAGACCCAAGAGACAGCCAATGAATTCAAACAACTATTTAAGACTTTGTTTTAGTCCAAAGCTCTGACCTCAGAAACATACTATTAACGTCAGTGAGAGCAGCATACACATATAAGGACAGAGGTTAGCCCTAAATTGCTATCAATAATGGGATCCTAGCTATTTTTATTTCCCCTCTTTCTAAACATACCCTACAGCACATTATACATTTTAAAATTACAGCTACAATTGTTAATGTTAAAGTGCTTCCCATTTAAAAAAAATCCTTATTTCTGGGCTTTTTAACTCATCTATTAAATATTTATTCTGGGAAGAAAATTGACACCTACAGTCTCCACCTAGGAGCAATTTTTCATGTAAGCAAAGTTTTCATTAAAATATTTATTTTCTGCTGTTAAAATGAAACTGCAGTGTCATAAAAGGAGCTTTAAAAATTCCAATTACTACATCTAATTACAGAGAAGAGTTAATTATGATTAGTTTTAAAATAAGATACATTATGAATTATTTATATTAAAAAAGACCTTTCTCTGTAACTGGCATTCTTTGGGATGTGTTGCTCAGGTTCATTCCATATTAGCTGTGTGTGTTCGTCCCATGCACTAGTGCTGGAAATTTTTCACTCTGGTGGCCCCTGGAGTGGCACTCATATGTCATGGTATAAGGGGCTCTGCAGGCTCCCCCCATCCTCAGTTCTCTCTTGCGGGAAACTCAACAGTGAGGAAGGCAGGTAGGTCATGGAACGGACATGAGCAACACATCTCAAAGAGTACCAGTTATGCAAAAGAACGGTTACTTCCCTGGTAACTGTTGTTCTTCGAGATATGTTGCTCATGTCCATTCCA